TAGAAGACTGCCATAAAGCAGTTTTTATTGCTATAATTCAGTTTGTGTGTGTCAGCTCATGGCGGAGGAGAGAGAGACTTTTGCTCGCCGAGCTGAAGCTAAAGGATTTGATGGAGTCCTGCCAGCAGCTAGTCAAAGGACCTTCGGTACCTTAGGCAGACCCTGACGGAGTTTGGAGGCCAGCAAGCTCTCGGTGAGGAGAGAAACATTCGCGTGGCGATGGACTCTCCGTAAAAAATGCAAGCTACATAGCGCCGACATACTGCAACAGGCTACGATTTCAGCTAACTAACTCGATCTGCCGCTTCACAAAGTTCAACTATTTACAAGTCCTGACTGTTGTAGTCTGAAGCTGGACTCTCATCGCCCACCTACAGGTAGCTTTTGGAGCTGATGGATTTCCCGACAGCTTGGACTCCTTCCGCAAACTCTCGCAACATTACTACAGTGTATGCTGTGTTTCCGCACGCTCGTGTCGACATGTCTTGTACATGTACCGGGTCGCGGAGGAGCTTGACGACCTCCGCTGACTCCAGGTTTCCGAAATACTGCCGTCGTCTTCGTTGATGTCGCTGGTGACATTCTCCCCTTGCAGGACGTGCGCATAGTTGTCGTCTCGGGGGTAAAGACTATGTTGTCTTTCGAAATAGTTCTTCATCACGCTCGCGCGAATGATGTTTCTCATCATGAACTCGTTCCGACGGTGTGACACGGCGATGGTCTTTGGCGGGGCACTGGCTTGGCGAAAACGATATCTTCTTGTACAATATAACACTGATCGGCTGCAGATGAGTACAGTCACTTCGTGGTTGGTCCTATAGGAGGGCAGCTGCCAGGAAAGAGGCAGAACTCATCGAAGACGAAGCGCTCGCAACAAACAATAGCACTCGAAATATCTCGTAAGATTTAGGGCCTATCGCTTTGAGCCACAGCGCTCACAGCCTTGCCTACTTCATCAAAGTGAGCTCTACATGTTCGTTGACCTCTTCACACTACACAGAAGAGCGAAACAAGGATTATGTCTTAGCATTTCAACTCCAACAGCAGACCATTACCAGTGCGAGAGAGAAAACTACAAACGGCTTTGCTTTCTGTCGCATCGTCTCTCTTGCATGCAACTAACGAGGAAACCGTGTACTTACCCTCGCATTCACACGCGAACTATCAAACACGTCCTGTGCCGCATGCTGATCAGGTAGTGCCATGTATGTGTTGTACAGTGTACTCTCAGTTGACATGCCCCCTTTCGAACCCAGACAATCTTTTCGGGATTGGTCTATTGTATACGTGTTTGTTACCATTACATCCAGTCCAACTGGCTAAGTGCACGCACACACACACACATGGACACGCAGAGACACAAATGCATGTACTGTATGTGCACGCACACACACACACACAAACACCCCATGTACGCCTGTCGCAAGGGAAGCACGCAACAAATACGCAAATGCACTTGACACACGTACACATGTCCTGGTGTAGTATTGTTACAATACTATGTACTTCTGTGCGTACAATTTGTACGCACAGAATGAGATTTCTCTGATTATCATAAGTTACTAGCAGCACCCCAGGCCAGCGTTGCCTGGCCGAATGTGGCATGCGCGGGTGAAGCAAGTACATGAACAGCACACGTGCTCAGCACGTGGTGGTGGCCAGACCGCGCGCTGAAGTCCTGGTGAGGGAGGTTCTTCATGGTTGGAATCGGAAGGCTGGTCAGGGTTGTCTATCACCTGGTGGCGGATGAAGCGGCTCAAAAAATTCATAAACTTTAGGGTTCACGGATTGGCATGCTAGCGTCGCCAGCTACATCATGCACGTGACAGGCGCGTGCATAATACTGCATAATACTGTCCCACACAATCGGTCAGTGCTCAAATCGCATTTTCCCATCAATATCACTCACTTTCAACTCTACGGGATTCATTCCGGTTGGCTCAAACTGCCTGAATTTTTGAATCCACACGCACGAAAGACGTTCCAAGACTTCCACCGTTCGTATTTTTTCAAACGAGTTCCGGGTTTTCCAGTAACTTTGGCCAAAGTTCGGCTAAAAAAACAGGGGGAGCCGTTGCGTTTCCGTAAAATACTGAACGGTAGAAGGATAGCCAAGGTCGAGAGCAAAACAACAAGCCATTGTTTGTCAAAATCGAACAAGAAACGGCTCAGCGCATCTATTTTCCGTGCACGCGCGCGCGTACTTTGGCCGACAAGGTGTGGAGAATTTCTGAAGAAGAAGAATAACAAGAGCAGCAGCGCTCGGAACAGCCGTGCTGGATACTTCCAATCCCGACGATGGAGCGTGTTGGCTGTCGTGAGCTGCTGAAACGACCATGACATTTCTTTTTCTTTGTATACCCTACATATCTTGACGTGCCCTAGCTCAATTTCGGCCTCTTTACAGGAAGAATATTTTCTTCCATGGCATCAGCGGCCAAACAGCAACAGATCGAGATTTGCAGGGCAAACAAAGGATGCGTGCAGCTACATCTAGTCAGGTTCGATGCAGCTGCGCTTTGCCAGAACCTCAGCAGATAAGAAAAGACGACAGAGTGTCTCAGATGGAACTGGATCTTTCGCCAAGACCGCCACCGCCGCCATCATCAAGTCCAGGTCAGTCAGAAAAATGCAAAGCCCGAGTGAAGTGAAGCCACTGAAGCCAAGGAAAAATTCAAAAAGTACGCTCTCCGGCTAGACTTCGAGTCGATATTTTTTTACTTCGATAGGCGCTGTCGCGGCCTGTAGCGCGCGTCCATAATCCAAAATGGAGGCGCACGTGACGGGTGCTTTTAGTGGCAAGCCGTGAACCCTAAACTTACGAACAAAAGTGCGATGCGCTCTTCACTGCAGATCAGATGCAGAGTGCAGTCAGTGCAGATCCTTTGTATCCTTTTGTTGCAGATGTTTCTATTTGCAGAGAACGGTTCACGTGGTCCGCAGCGCTTGTGCGGCTGCTAGTGCTACCTAGTAGTACCCATGGCTTCGGCTAGGTGGCTACATGATTCGCACGCTTCGCGTGCTCAGTGCTTCTGCGCGCGGCTGCTACTGCTACTCCGTACTCGTACTGATCGTGTCTGCTATAAGCGCTACCACCTATAATATGTATACACACATGTTCGCACGCTTCGCGTGCTCAGCACGTGGTGGTGGCTACACGATTCGAATGCTTCGCGTGCTCAGTGCTTCTGTTGGCTGCTTCCGCGATCCGCTAGCTAGCTACACGATTCGCACGCTTCGCGTGCTCAGTGCTTCTGCGGCCGCTAGCTACACTGTGCTTCACTGTTCGCACGCTTCGCGTGCTCAGGGCAGCGCTGCTCCGCGATCCGCAGCGCTTCAGCGTGACACAAAAACACACGTCACAGGTGCCTCTTCTTTATAAGGAGCGTGACACACACACACACACACACACACAGACACACGTCACAGGTGCCTCTCTTTTATAAGTAAAGATAGCAAGAGTACAAAACTCCCCACCAGGTTATGTACTCTTGGTTATAGCAACGATAGGCTGGTGGAAAAGACAAATAAAGCAGATCAAGACTACAGCGCCAGATCACTGCCCGAACTAGTACTTAGTAGTAGAACTACACAACTGACGAAGCTATGTGAATAGCCTCCCAATGCACACCTGATATCCGTACCACACGGTACATAACAGAATTATAGTGTAACAATCACCTACAGTCCATTTCAAAACTATATAGACGCGTAGTTCTACCTAGGCAAAAACCGTTATGCCAGCATCTACACCACATAAAATCTGTGATCACTTTGTGCATAATTTTTTCCAAATTGGGCGTCTGTTATCCAATCGTTTAGAAACTATATGAGAGTAATTGTGGAGCGGACCTGAGCAATATTCCGAAAAGTATTCTCAAAAAGTTCCAGCCAAATTATTTCAAAAACCCTACGCGTCTATAGTTTTGAAATGGACTGTACATGACTGTGTGCACACCCTACAAATAGTACCAAGATTTTACCCCCCCCCCCCCCCTCAGACTATATAAATGTACCGTAAAGTACCGCCAGAGCGCCCCACCATCTCGTCCTTTCGCGGTCGTATTGTGGAGGTGGTCTCCTGTCTGTAGGTCATACGACACGAACTTTGAACACATATTGCACGTTGTGGAGACAATCCGTACCTTCGAGCAGACACGAGCGCGCGCTCGAGCTCCACACAGAAACCTGCTTTATAGGGCGCGTTCAGACTACCGATAAAAAGTGACCGATTGGGAGAGTCGGCAAGGTGATTTGATCACGTGACGTTACTGGCACGTTACCGGTGGGAAAGTTTTACTGCCGCGGCTGCTAGCTGCTGCTGCAGTAAACTTTTACCGGCAGTAAAAAAGTGCTCAGGCTGCATGCGCGCTGGGAAAAAAGGGAAAATCCCTTGTCAGTGCTGCGGTGAGAGCTGAAAACTTCACGGTAACGTTAGTTTGTTATCGGTACGCGGTAGTGTGAATGTCTTTCACGGTTTTTCGGCATTCACGGTTTGACGGGGTTCACGGTCGTCTGAACGTGCCCTTAGTGTGACCTTAGTACACTATGGTTCTCACACCGTACAAACTTCGTGGGACTGTGCCATACGATTTTCCTTTCCCTGGCTGTAAAATCAAGGTGGGGGCGCTCTGGCGGTACTTTACGGTACATGTACTCTTGCTACTACCCTACACCAGGGAGTTCCCAACTCCGTGCCGAACAGTTGCTGGGGCAACCAGACGAACGCATACACACCACACACGTCCGTACACACAACCAAGTCTAATAATCCGGAACTGAACTCCCTAGCTATTACCAAGAGTCAATACACGTTTATGCATGCACTCTTGCTGCTACTAATATGGCAAGTGTACATTAGTTCCAAGGAGCTGATTTACTCCCGGCACAACTCGGCTCAGACCGGGGAGCCGTCACATAATTATAGAGTAATTCACGACTCCCGGGTTCTCAGACGAGGCAGGAGTTGAAAATCTTATCTGCATTCGACGACTCCTTGGTTCAGACACATCCTGAGCACCCTTCCTCAGGACCAGTCAATAAATTACAATGCAAAAATAGCCGTGATAAGGTGTACATGATTGCTATTGCACGACTAGTGTATGTATGCTTGCACGTGAGCCACGAGCAACAGCAGGAAAACAGGGAGCTGGCCAGCAGGGCTAATTAATTAGGTTAGGAAATACTATATTTGCACATTAACAGTGGATTGGCGAAACGAAGAGCCCGGCCGAACTAGCTTCACTGGGCAGAAGAATAATCGAGAGAAAATGACGGACCGGGTAAATTAGAATGCTTGGGACATGGCGCGGCATCCGTGAAAATAGAGTACAGTACAGGTCCCGGATATCAGGGAGCCACGTACAGTGTGCTTTGAGTTGACGTTGGACAACAAACAAACAAAAAAACTAGTAAAGGCCGCCGGGGGACAAAGACGGTTACACGGCACCAGAAGACAATGCGGAAATTCAGCTCGGGGGGGGGGGGGGGGGGGGATAAATAAAATATTTTTTAAAGCGTCACATTTTCTAGGGGGTGTGCACTGTAGGTGACCCGTAACCATGGTAACCGAGGAAATATGGCGTCAACGCTAACAAGTCGACGGGACATGAAGCAGGGAAGGGAGAGGGGGAAAAGATGGAACAGTATCAACAATGCTGGCTTACCAGAGCTGGATTGGCTCGTAGAAGTCAGAGGAACGAAGCATGACAGGATGGACTGTTTGTTAGGTCTCTGGGCTGAGTTCTATTCAAACAGAATGTCTTGTAAGGCTCCAATACCAGCCAAAGAATGAAGTGCGCACAGCGCATTCCTCATGTGAAAAAGACCAGTACAAACAATCGGAGACGAACGCAATCCAATTCTAGAGGCGTACCAGCCGACCCTCGCAGTGCGAGCACGGGTGGAACTCCATGTCGATGCCGATACGCGGCGGGCCTGCGTACGTGGAGCCATTGCGGGCAGTGTCTTCGTCAGTCAGCTCGGGAACATGCATGCTAGGCTTCAGGTCTTGAAGAATGGCTAAGATCTTCTCGGCGCGTTGTTCACTAGTGGCTATGCCACTTGGCAGGCTGGCCTGGGATTCTGTACAAGAATGAGAGCAGACGGGAAAGAGGCAGAGGAAATCAGCTGGAGGGAGGGAGGGAGAGGGAGGGGGAGAGAGAGAGAGAGAGTGTGTGTGTGTGTGTGTGTGTGAGAGAGAGAGAGAGAGAGAGAGAGAGAGAGAGAGAGAGAGAGAGAGAGTGCGTGTGTGTGTGTGTGTGTGTGTGTGTGTGTGTGTGTGTGTGTGAGAGAGAGAGAGAGAGAGAGAGAGAGAGAGAGAGAGAGAGTGAGAGAGAGAGTGAGAGAGAGAGAGAGAGGAGGGAGAGAGAGAGAAAAGTTTCATGGAAACACAAACACATTTATGGCCACACACGTTTGTAACCATGGATAGGGAGGGACGAAGGCCGGACTGGTTTCAGTGGTTCCCATCTATTTAGGCGCTATGTGCAGGTGTCAGCCCGACATAGTAAGTACACCAATGCTTTGACAATGAAATCAGGGTAATTGCCACGTCACCGGGCATGTCCTGAGTTGGCTTACACCAAAAGTTCTGTATCTATCCGGTTAGGTTACCAAAAGTATTTTCAAAACGAAAAGTTTTCGTTTGGGGGTGGGTGAGTTTGAAGGTTCGTTTTGAAAATAATTATTGAATCCAGATGGAGAAGGCCCAGTTACTTCTGGATGTCGAAAATTGACATCAATATTTTATTGGAGTTCGTTTTACCTGCAGAAAAGATAGGTGGGTGGGTGGGTGCTGAAAAATACTAAACCTTTTCGTTTTGCAAAAACTATTGGTAGCCCCGGACGGCCCCTTATACTTATAGGTTGACCCAAGTTCCTTCGTGATCTAAAATTGGAATTAAAAAAGGGATGCTGTATAAGAACTTTCTTATTAAGAAGATAAATTTCGTCGGTCAATAATTTCGTCGAAGTCCAAAGAAAGGGAGTTCGTCCGGCTGTAAATTTCGTCCATGGATCATGAGAGTGTTATTAAATGCCGGACTAATACAGCTGGACAAATCTGTATTAGTCCGGCATTTAATTTAGTCCAAAAGCTCCTTGGACGAAAGAGACGAAAATAAATTCCAGACGAATATTTCTGCTTGTAGATACATGTACAGTAGTCGACTTACAACCGGGGTTTACCCGCTATTGATCATGTTGACATTGAACAAGTAAATCGAAGCCCTGGGTATTGGGGCCTGCTGATAACCGGGGCCGACTGATAACCAGCGAAACACGGTGCGTATGCTCCACTCGTCAACAAGCGGTCCCCAAGAGTACATAACCCCCAGAGTGCGCAACTGGGCTGGGGTTGTGGGACGGCGTAATCCGTGATGTACGTCAATTTTCGGGTCGGACTTGCCTCATTCCATCGACGCCGCGCACCACGTCCACACTTCCTCTACTCATGATGTCATTATTAGGACGTGCAACACGGATTTCGCCGTCCCAGATTTGATAAGTGAACTTGCGCACTCTGGAGGGGGGTTATGTACTCTTGCTGGTACTGTAAACCGCCCAATATTCGTGTCACTAAAGTTTTGCCATCTCTGAGAACCAGCAAGTTTACGATGGCAAATGTTCGCGGAGCACTGTGGCCACACACACATACACCCACTGTTGAAGTTTGATTTCACGATGGTTAATATTCGCGTTATGCTCTTCTCGAAAAATTAGCAAACATTAATACGCCGCAAACAGTAGACAGTTTACAGTATATTAAAGTTATAACCATTGCAGCATACATAGACAGTGTACGTTACCGCAAGCAGGAACGTCTTACAACTGGAAGAAACATGGAGAAGCCGTGAACTCACCGCTTGGCGTCATCCCCAGGGAAACGTCCGTTGATCCGACCTTGCTGAGGTGTGGAGCAAACAACTCACTCTCGTCACCCTCGAAGACGCCCGGCATCGACGACGGAGAGAGAGCGTCTTGGCCGGCAGTCGACGGTGTACTCGTTTCCATGCCTCCTCCCGGACCGGTGGACGGCCGAGCTGGCGTGTTGAGCTCCGAACCTAGAGCGGCTGTGCCGTCGTTCATGGTGCTGTACGCGGAGATGTGAGACTGGAGCTGCAGGAGCCGGCCGATCAGGCTCTTGCGATCCGCGACCAGGTCCATGACCAGGTTGTGCAGTTCCTCCACCTTGTCCTGTGCACAGTGGTGGGGGGTGGCAATAACGGGGAAACACACATACACGGGAACAGAAGCTGTTGAACGGAAGAAGAAAAAAGGCACTACACAGCATGGCTGTGGTATACTAGGGGACACGATCACAAAGTGACATGCACAGGGAAAGTGCACGGTGGGGGAAGTAACGGGGAAAACCCAGACACAGAAGCAGAAGCTGTTGAATGAAGGAAAGGCAGCGCACGGCATGCCTGCGGTATACTACTACTGTTGTGGAGGTTGAAATCCGTAGGGAAGTCAAGCGGCTGTGGGGCGCTGGCCTTGCAGCCGCGGGCATTGCTGGTCCATTTGAGTGTGTGGGGACCACAGTGAGTGTACGCGCTAAGACAGAGCGCCGGCCTCGGTCGTCGCCACTGCCCCCCCCCCCCCCCCCCCGGTTTTAACATCCACACCTGCAGTAAGAAGTGATCACCACAGCGAGACGTCCGTACTGTAAACCGGGAACTGTTCACGACGGTTCAAGTTCGCGATGTGGGTGCACAGACCTATTTACACCTGGACATGCTTACGAGTGGAGTGGAAAGGACACTCCAGTCCATTTCAAAACTATAGACGCGCGCAGTGTTTTTGAAATATTTCAAATTTGGCTGGAACTTTTTGAGAATACCGTATATTCTCTATTATAAGCACAGGTCTCCATTACTAGCACAGTCTCTAATACTAGCACACTTTGAGCACCTTTCGAAACATTATAAGCACGGTCTCTATTATTAGCACGGTCTTGTTGGAAATCAATGCGGCATGCATGATATCTAGCATGTATTTCTTCTTTCTCTGTATCGATGTATTGGTTGAAAAAATATAAGCACGGTCTCCAATATAAGCGCGGTCTCCAATATAAGCACGGGGTAGAGGGGTGTTGAAAAAATATAAGCACGGCGCTTATAATAGAGAATATACGGTAGTTTTCGGAATATTGCTCAGGTCCGCTCCACAATTACTCTCACATAGTTTCTGAGCGATCGGATAACAGACGCCCAATTTGGAAAATCTTATGCACAAAGTGATCACAGATTTTATGTGGTATAGATATTGGCATAACGGTTTTTGCCTAGGTACGCGTCTATAGTTTTGAAATGGAATGTACAGGGTCAGCAAACACAGTACTTCATAACCCATAGTATGTTATATCTAGGGTACCTTTTACTGAAAACTTTCAAAAACTTAGTAAAAGTGGGGAGGCTTCTCAAAAACTTAGTACACAAATTCAAGAACTGCATGCGACTCAGTCGGACTGGGTTCTCCCACAAAGACCGAACACCGCAGCATATCAGAACACGGCACGCACTGCATACCTCCATTCTGGCTTGCTCCTCGCGTAGCTGATCAATGTACTCGTCCTTCTTCTCGTAGCGCTTTCGCAACGTGTCACGCTGTAGCTGATACAGGGTGATGTACTCACCTGTAGAGCACGGAACAAGCCAAATCAATACCATAATTATTTTAAAGTCCAATTGAAGCAAGGATAACAGCGGGGCACAAGTTATGCGTTACAGTCCATTCATCGGAAACAGTCTCGCTGGCTTTTGAAAATCCGATTTGCTCTGAATTGAGGATCAAAAACCCACTTTAAAGCTCAAAAATCCGGGTTCGGGATCTGCTTCTTCATACATTTTGCCATGGCATACCTGTCCTAGTTTTAGTAAAACCGGGCTGAATTTCTATTTTCCTGTTCTTCGACTTTTCTGGCCTTAAATGTGGCAAGGAGTAAAAGTCATGTAATTGCACGGGTCACACAATGCAGGATGTACTGTTGTTTTCACGATGTCTACAACTATATGCGGGAGACATCAAAAAGTTTTAAAGGTGCCAGTTTCCAATGAATGGACTGCAGAGTTCACCAACTAAACCAGGCTCTGAACAGTCAGACGTGCACAAGGTAGCACCAGACTGACAAGTTTTAGTTGGTGGACTCTGACGCAAAACTTGTGCCCCACCGTTTTCCTTGTTTCAATTTAACATTTTCCTTGTCTCACCATCTGAGTATAAAGTCAAAGATGACTATAAACACGGGGTATGACTAGAGGAGCGAAACACAGGACAGTCAGTTGTCCAGACGGGCCTGGGATGACGAAAATACCGGCCCCAATATCACAGCAGAGATTGAAAGCTGGTAGAACACCGTATTCTCGGAAACTAGTGCAGGTCCTTTATTACTGTCTGTCTGAAATAAGCGCCACATCATTTCAGGGATTTTGTGCGGATTTTTCAAATTCTAGGACTCGCAAACTACTGAGCGCCTCAGCCAATATTGATGATATTAAATACGGCAGCTGGTCAAGCAGAGCAGCGGGGGCTCACCTAAAAGCCCATGATCAAGCCCTTACTGCACACGTCTTCACTACGCATGTACCAAGAGTCTGTCAGAAGTTCATCCGCATACCAAAACACTACGTGATGGTTTCTGGGGTCGCTACCTACCACAGCTGACCGTTCTTCGACTTTACACAACGAGACGAGAATCTTCAGTTCACTTTCTGCCGCATTTTGTGTTCAAAGTTTTAGCCAGCCCACGCATTGATGTCTGGAACCGTGGCACTTCAGTTTGAGTTGTGGCAGTTCGCTCAAAAATACAATTTACATTTTGATATACTAAAAGTAAAGTGAAACCTAGCTAAGGCGACCGTTCAAGGGACCTTCCGAACGTGGTCCTCATGTGCAGGTGGGGGCGCCTTATCCAGGTTACGTTTGACTGGAAACACGTGGTCGCCTTATCAGAGCGGTCACCTTCACATGTTCCACAGCATACCTAGAAATGAAAATCTTCAAGTAACATGACTGCACAGTTAAGCCTTATCAGAGCGGTCACCTTGAGAGGTTCCACTGCATACCAAGAAACGGGAAAATCTTCAAGTAATATGACTGCTAAGTTTAAAGCACTTGGCAGCTGGCTCTTTCTCACCTATCGTGTTCGTTTCTCCCTCCAGCTGGCCAGCAACATGCTCCAGGCTGTGTACTTTCTGCACAAGATCGGCCTTCTCCGTCATGATGGTCAAGAAGCGTTCCTAGGAAGCAGACATGCACGAGCACAACATGGCAACACAGTGAAATAAAAATAATAAAAATAATAATACTGTATTCGCGGGATCCGCGTTAGCATCACTTGAATGTTCAGAAACACACAAGCTATAGCCTTCGCTTCCGCAGGCCACCACTATGCCTTTTCACCTTGGTGAAAACCTGATGTTAACTATTGGAGGAATCTGTTTCAGTGACTATCCTGACAACTTGGGGCGCATTTGGTTGGCACGACCTATAACAGGATTCACAAGAACAGCGCGCTTGATTGATTGGGACATGTTCCGCTCGCACCGGGCTCAAGGCCGGAATTTTGAGGAATGAATCCAAGTTTGGCGCACTTTTTGCATGAGTGTACTCTGTATCTAAACTTCTAAAGCACTGTTTGGTTGGCATGAGGCTGCTCCTTGTGCACCAGCTGTTCTAGATCATACCAACCAACCAAACCCTTATCTAGCAAATTAAATAAGCCC